AGCAAACTTGACGGCGTTGGAAAGAGGATTCTAAGACCTTTAATTTGATATCTTGTGGGTCTCCTAACTCGTCATGTGCTAAAAGTTATGGTCATTTGAAGTTGACCCAAAACTTAAAAGAACTAAGGAATGACTTGAATGAATTCTCTTTAATTCTTTTTGGAACTCTAGGTGCTATATCTAGTGACCTTAACACTTAAGAAAAAATTAAATTTCTTGATAAAAACTTACTCACTGCAAAGGATGGTTCAAGTCTTAGCTCAAAAAAAAAATCGGGGTGTTACAACTAATGTTAGAGTGTAAATCTCATTGGTCAGACATACACCACGCACATATAGATGTATCGATTTTATAAAGGGTCTATATATTTTGACAACCAGTAAATATTTAGATATTCAAGTTTTACAAAGGTAACAAATGTTCTAATTGCTACTTTTTCAACGGTAACATCTAATTTATTTACAATTCTTTAAGGGGTCGTTTGGTAGAGTGCATATTCAAATAATGTTTGTATTAGTTATATTTGGATTAGTTATACTTAGATTATTTCTTATACATTGTTTGATTTGGTGCATTAAGAATAGCATGCATGATACCCTTCACAATTTTAGTAGAGAAAATTTTAATTTTTTTAGGACAATTGGGTCTTTAATTATTTAATTCATGCATTAAAATCATTGCACTACGAATATCATGAATTTTCATATATTAATAAGACATAGCTTAATACACAACGAGTGGACTTGATAATAAACATTAAGATAGTCTACAAAATGTATGTCATCTTTTGATTGATTTATATTAGATCATGAGTAATTTAAATAATAGCTTACATTAAATTGGCCAAAATGTTAGGGGTAAAAAAACAGTAGCTTGACATATCCAATATCTTGATTACAAAAACAAATTCAATCAAGTCTTTGCCGCATTGTAGTATAGATAGAGGAAATCTCCACAATAATGATTTGTTCTTAAATTTTACAAAATGATTGTTAAACTCCTCCAAAGAATAAGTCTTTGCCACATTGTAGTATAGATAAAGTGAATCTCCACAATGATGATTTACGCGGAGATCTTCCCCGAGGTGTCTCATAAAATACATGTGGTGAACATGATTGTAAACCTTCACAATACCGTTGACGATGTTCTTGTGTTTATCGGAGATAAAGAACAATTCTGATTCATCGACCACAATCTCCTTCAACTTTTCAAAGAAGAATGTCCAAGATGCATCATTCTCTTTATCCACGACACAAAAGGTAATTGGATAAACATGATTCTCTGTATCTTGTACAACAACACTCAACAGCACACCCTCGTATTTACCATGTAAATGAGTGTCATTGACCGCAATTACCTTTCTCATGTAGGCAAATCCCCTAATACAAGCAGCGAAGGCCATGAAATAATACATGAACCTATGATTATCCCCGTTTACCATGATATTATAGCTAGAACCAACATTAAGGGTTTCAGTCATGTAGGAAAAAGGCGGTAAGCATGAATATCCATTCTCCGATTTCCCTCGGACCATTCCCATGGCAACCTCACCTTCCTTTCAACATTTTCAATAGCTTGGACTACAACGAAAAGAACTAAACATAGCCGTGTGAATCTCTTTAACATTTGGACTCTTGCCATCATGATACATATTTACACAAAGTGAAGTAATGACCTTGATTGAGATTTTTCTATGGCTACTATTGGAATGGTCAATGCCACAATTGTGCTCGTCAATGTACTTGTAGATACGAAATATGTCCGAACACTCATATTTCCTTCCCCGCAATATCCATGCACAGTTGTGAGATACACAATCCACCTTTAAGTATTTAGTACAACTTTTCACAGTAGCAAAATCAAAAGATTTCTTTACCTCCGCTTCGGCTAATAAGAATTGCAACTCATTCTTGCTACTAAAAGTTTGATTTATGCATAAATTAGTTTCATCGGAGAAGGAATGGTTGGATTGTGATCCCAATTCCTGTTCTCTCTATATTTTTTCAGAACATTCGGGTTTGGGATTTTTCACATCTACTGGCTGATTTTCTACATTCATTAGATGATCATGTATATTCATTGAATGATCATCCAAGTTCTCCTTTGAACTCTCCTTTGAATAATCACCCAAGCTCTATTTTGAATGATCACCCAAGCTTTCATTTCCAAACTAATCATTGTCATCGTTAAATGAATTTGTTGGTTCAATTGGAGACCTCGCATTGACATTTATCCTCAATGCCTAGATCCATCAATACAAATATCTAACATGTACAAGCTCACGTGACTATCATTTTTTATGAATGTGGGATGTATTTTTCCCCTCCCATTCATTTGTTAGCTAATCACCAAGTCATTTGGCCCACAGGCAAACTAACCTGCCTCAATTATGCTTGCAATCATATCGTCATATGAACCATTGCGACGCAGCGCAATGGGGATTGTCGTTTTACTAAAAGATTTTCGATTCCAGCTTTTGCGAGTCTCCTCCCATAGTTTCATATAATCACCACTAGCAACAACAAATTCAACTACTGTCATTATAGACTACAAAGATAGATACTAGATTACAGTATCAGTCTTTAACGATCGATGTGATGCGAAATCTGTACAAAAACGTGACTGAATAAAATCGGGTTCAAAATTAAGCTCCTGCAATGGAGAAACGTATTTTTAATGCTTCTAAACTACTGAAATGTATCTACTAATGAGTTATCAAGTGATTATGGAAGATTTCTCAAGCTTCTAAAATGGCAGGAAAAATAATTTTGAAGCTTGATTTTTGAAAGAAAATGGAGTAAAAATGAAGAAATGTGTAGGATGATGATGATTTTACTTGTGAAATGGAAAATATTGCCGAAAAATTCGTTGGAATCGACAAAATCAGCAGCAAAAATGAGCCTTTTTTAATTTCTTGTTGGAGAGTTGTTCTTTTTCAAATAAAATTTTAATAAATGAAAATACACATTATTCCATATTTGTTGGGAAGGATAGGGGGACCAAAGTGTATATATTAAAACTTAAGAGTTGCTTTTGTATGTTGGAAGTAGGTCACATGGGTGATGTCGGGTATATTCCAAATAGGCCAAACACATATACAACCCCTCTAACTTGTCCACATTTTTCATTTTGGCACTTTATCTTAGCCTTGTTCCATTTTAACCCTTGAACTCCATTTTTTATATTCCATTTTAACACGAAATATTATTTTTATGATTTATTTATTTGTATATATATTCTTCAATTGCAACTTCTTATTTTAAATCGACATGTGTCATTTAATTTTAGTTTAAAAATTAAAAATTAATAAAAAATAATTCTTTTTAAAAAATAATAATTTCTTTTTAAGAGTGTTATGTATTTTTGTGTGAAAAACAACTGACGAAATTGTGTTGGTTTTCTTTCTTTAAAATCACCGACAACAAAGTCAATCGAGTTTTAACATTGTTTAGTAGTGTTATTAGCAATGAACAAGAGTCTTTTTTTAGTAGTGTTATTAACAAAGTCAGTTGAGTCTCTTTGAAGATGGGTTTTTTTATTCGTATTGATTTATATTAAAAATTAAAAGTGAGTATTTGCGTTAAATTTAGATAGCCTAGATGATAAGAAAAAATAAATAAGTAGTGTTATTTAATTTAATTGAATGTTTAAGAAAGAAAATCAAAGAACTTTCGTCAATTTATTTTCATGCAAAAATACAGAGAAATATCAAAAAATAATATTATTGTTTGAAAACTTTTATGTTCGTTCACGAATGTTTAATTTTTTAAATTAACAGGCACACGTCTATTTTTTTAAAATAAGAAATTGCAATTGAAGAACATAAATAAAAACAAATCATAAAAATTAGTATAAGTGTTTAAATGGTACAGAAAAAATGGAGTTTAAGGGTTAAAATGGAACAAGGCTAAGTTGGAGTGCCAAAATGAAAAATGAGGGCAAGTTTGAGGGGTTGTATATGTGTTTGGCCTTCCAAATATTTGTGACTAAATGTCCAATTAAATTTTCAAAGTGGCTATTTTGCCAACTATCCCATGACACACTATATCTCAAGTATGATTATGTTGTAATGCCTCTATTTCATCCTTGCAATTGACAGCATCTACACTTCTCGGGTCTAACACGGCCTGTTCATATATATATGCCTGCCGGTTGTATGAGAGTCGAGAAGGCTGACAAGTAAGCTTTATTTGTTGGTGATAGATTCTCATTAAGATGTATATTTAAAAAGGGCATAGGGTAAGTCATATTTGTTGGGAGAAACAAATTCTCTTATCATATTTTCTTGTGTTAGCTAATGGATATAGTTGTTGTTATTATTCAATGATGTCAAGTGGTTGTCTTTCTGAAAGAACTACTTGATCCTGAATTTCTGGAAATGTTTTTCCTAGTTGAGATGTTGAACCTTCTTCAAGTAGATATTGTCTTGACAAAGCATAAACATCCTATATATAACCCTGAACTGTTATAGCAAAGATTTCTTGCCATATAACACAACATTGATAAATCGGTAGAGCGAATTATTCTCCTTGGTTCACAAAATCAGTATTTGTACAGCATTGAGTATATTTACTGTTAACCTAATTTCTAATTGATCACAATATTAACCAACTTCCTCACTACAAGTGAATATAGACTACTTCACCCTTATGGTTAAATGCCTGATCTTCTTCTCTTCTAATTTTTACATTCTAGATGAATGGTGATGTCCTCTTCTTCTTTTTTTAATTAAATCCACAATAGTTATATAGAACTAAAATTTTAAAAAAAAATGAAATGAGAATAGTGATAAGTGAATAAGGTATGGAGTGATCACATGAAGCCAACTGTTGTGTCTAAGAAAGTCAATAACAGGTAAGAGCCAATCAATCAATTGCCAATAATTACGCATAAAATAACTTCCATGAGCCAACCATTTTTCTCTGACAAGCTAACTTCCAACAAAAACATTGAATATTGTAGAAATACAACACAAGTTGAAGAAAAAAAAATATTTTTTTTCCTCATTCTACTTAATAATAAAAATTTCTCAGATAATGAGAGAATAGAAGGAAAGAAGAGAAAAAAGAAAGAGGGTTTGCAAAGCAATCTCTCCTTCTTTGGATCTCTCAAAATCATATTATAATTTAATTTATCTAATTAGTACAATCTTTATATTATATATTTACACTTTAGAAACTACCCTTTTCTTCTTAATTCAGCATTCCAATTCATTTGTATTTATTTCTCTATGTATTTCATTCCTCATAAATATCTTTCTTGAGGATTTTCTCTTCATTTTCCTTTTAGATAATATTGATCATGAGTAGACTCCGCATAAACTCATCTCCTGATTTAATGTCTAATTCAACGTTTGAACAATGTTATGATGATTCAGCTTTAGAAGGTAATGATGTTTGATCATTTTATGTTTGTTTTGTTGTTGGGATATTATTATGTTTTCTTGATTCATTCATATATAATTCAATGAGATATTCATGTTTTGAATTTTTATTCTATGTTGCAAATATCTGTATTTTTAGGGGTTGCAGCCAACATTAAGTTATTGCTAAAGTTGATTCAAGAACACAAAAATGCTTGTAACAAAGAGAAGAACGATGGCCGGAGAATGTTGAGGGTGGCGACCATGATGACCATTCTGGATAGTGTTAGGACGAGAATTCAGAAATGTCAATCTTTTGGTAACAAATCACCATCAGAAGCTGAATCTACTAGTCATGTTCCCATAGACAAGAAGCACCACGAGGTGATGATTGATGAAAAAGAAAAGCTGAGGAAACAGCTAAATGCAAGCTTGGTAGCACGAAAGAGCCTTGAGGTCATGTGTTCAAGCTTAGGAAAAGAAAAAGAGATTATGGCAGCAGAGCTCTCAAAGAAAGTCCACGAGTTGAATGAAATGGAGGACCTCATCAATGATCTCAAAGAACAAAATGAGAATTTAGTGGAAAGGTTACATGAACGTGCCACCAAGCAAAAAGAAAGGAGGCATAGCAGTGATGGAGGAGAATTGCAAGGAAACATTGCCCTCCAAGAGAGAAATAAGGCACTTTCAGAGAACCTCCTAAAGTCATTGAATGGGTATAAGTCCATTAAGAGGAAATGGAAGGATGCACAAGCAGAAAACATGGCAATGCATGCAACCATGGAGGAAATGACAGCAAAAATTGGTGCTGGACTTGCCAGAATCCACAGCTTTAAAGAACGAATGGCCTCTGAAAATGTGCCCTCGACAAATATCCAAGAGGAGATCGTTGAATTAGAGCATATGTTTGAATGCTTTAAAATGCAGGTGGCAGAACATGGTCCAAAAGAAGGGGAATGTGTCAAACCAAAGGTAGATATTAGTGCTTGCAAGCCAACAGTTTTTGCATGAGTAACTTAGAAACAAGTGTTAAAACACAAGGAAGAAAAGATGGTTCTCAAGGTTTTTCTTTGGCATGGTCCAGGATCAAGGTGTTCCACTGAAAATGGAGAAACATTAGCCCATTCTTCTCTGTTATGGAGTCAATGTAATAAAGGAGTCAAGTATATGCTATGTAACAGGAAATAACTAGTAATGTTGTTTTTTTATTCATCTGCAAGTTACAGGTATCCATTTTGTCTTCAGTTCATTAATAATTTGGCCTCATTGTCCTAACTTGCAATGTAACCCTTTTACAAGACCTTGAAGTGCTCTTTATGGAATTATAATGAAGAGCAGAATCCTGAATCTACTTTTTTGGGTGGATGGCATGCAGTTATGGATTGATTCAGCAAGCTCCTCTTTCTGCAGATTTGATCAAACCTTTAAAACTATACAAAACGCAAACTGGACTGGATTTTTATTTAATTTTTTTAGCTTACACATCAACAGAAGAAAAAAAACATGATTTTTGGGGTACAAGTAACTGAATGATCAAAGACATGAACAGTCATTTGGGAAATACTTACTTTTATATAATGACAGATGAAAAAGACCAAGTCTTGTTGCATGATGTGAGAAGCATGGGTAGAAATTTTACACTATTCTAGCTCCAACAACCTAGAGCCAGCAATGCAGTTTAGAATCCATGAGTTGCTGGCAGCTACCGCTCCAGTTGAACTAGCCAAAACTTCTGCATCAGATCTTCTGCGCACTATAATTGAAATTTTTTCACTTCCTTCACACTGATCAAGTTGTTCGTGACTATAAATTACAAACGGTGGAGAGCATCCGCGCGAAAGAATTTCCTGATCCACTGCTATAGGCTTCCTGTTAAGGACAATTCCTCCAGCAGCAATAACAAGGTCATGTAGGTAGCTCTTGTATGAAGGTAAAAAGTCACCCATAAAAAAGAACTTGTATCCATTGAAAAGTTTTGGTTGCTGCAAAACAGGAATTTTGATATTTAACGAATGCATAACAGGACCTTCACAAATGATGTAACTGCAGCTAGCAGAAGATGAAAATGCAGTGAGACCTATAAGCAATCATTCCAACTGAACATCAACTTCTACTTGGTAGATTAATTTAGGGGGTGAGGTGGGGGGTCAATGAATCAAAGGAAATGACAACCTTAATGCTCCAAACATTCTAGTTAAAGTTCCTTTCTCTTAATGGAATAGGAATCTATTTGGGAATGCATACAACCTAAAAGAGTGTTTTATACACAAAAGGACTTAAACGTTACTCTAACCACCACCACTCCAGAAAAACAATTACAACTGTAACAACTATTATCCAAACAAATTGAAATGCACTTGATTAGTTTATTGTTGACGATAAATCTGGAGAAAGATGTAACCTTGTTTAAAATCCTCAATCTTCCAAGCTTAGGCCCATCCACAATGCCATGAGTATCTATTTTAATCTCATATTGTTGCTCATCGATAAATTCTGTGGCTTCCAAGCTAGCAATAATCCCTGCAGGCATAAAAAAGTTAAGATGGACAAAAACAGAAACTAAACTCTGGTTGTAGAGAACACATTTGTTACTCTAACATATTAATTTGCAGTTACGAAAACAAGGTTACTGACAGTCGATGCTCATTATCCATTTCCCAGCCAAGACACCCATCAAATATTTGAGAGTTCTTCGGCATGCTCCTTTCTCATCTGTAGAAGCAATGACATGGGTGACACTTAGGTCCCAGTTCTTGACTACTGTCACTCCAGACAACCTCTTTAATGTAGAAACAAGCTCCTGTAAGTTGAGGATTTAAGTTATCACCAGTTAATGAACCTCATTTGTCTCAAATAACTAAGATCCATGAAAATTATCATGTTTGCTTACTTTTTCATCAGCGGTTAGAGCTGAACAACAGAGCACTAAGTTCTTATTCTTCTTCTGAGACTTCCACTGCAAAGTAGCAGCATTATCAGGTGTTGCTGAGACTTTGGGTTGGTGGATACGAGAATTTCTGCATATTAGAGGCAAAAAGAAAGGGAATAAGTACTTGGAGCCAAAATGTAAAATTTTCAGCTAACAACAGTTCTAAGAATCTGTTAGTCCAACCTTTTAATACTATCTCCAATCTTTGTCTGTTTTCCTGGGATCTCACATGGCAACTTAGAGTTAGCATGCAAAGGGCATAACATAACAAAGTTGTCCTGCAACAAGGAAAATGGAGTAAGTGGCGTTGAATCTTTTATGAAATATAGTTCTGGGGATTGAATTTAAGACGTACAGAATCCCATCTACACTCTGGTGTCAATTTGGCACAAGGAACATGAAAGCTTTTGCGACAACTCGTCTCATAACATCCAAGAGCTGCCCCCTTTACTCCACAGAAAAAACAAGTGATCCTTCGACTCCTCTTCAGTTCAGATTCAAGGTTGACCACATCATCGTCTCCAAAATATACATTAGGGGCCCTGTAGATGTGCATTTCTGCTTTTTACACTAGAAACAATTTGACTAGCAACAGATTTGAAAATGATTTGACAAGGACAAATTACTGTACATTGAACACATTAGATGCAGATAAAAGATTTACACTTCCCTTTTAATTAAAAATACGAAATTGACTTGATTAAACAAGACATTTGTGACACTGATGATGAAATTATCTATAAAGCCAAGAAGTTTCTGTTATTATTGCAGATAATTTTTATAAATTACCATTACCACATTTATATGAAGGAAAGATAAGAGGACCTTCTGAAGAGTAATTACCATTCTGCACAATATTTGTGAACATGTATAACACCTGGTGCTCCATTGACATCTTCTTTGACAGGGTTTCCATTAAGGTAGCTTACCATGACTCCTGAAACCTGAAATTTGGTAACAGAAAATGGTATACAATTAATATACGATCAAAAGGCAGATTTTAAGAATTAAGAATAAATAGAAGGGGGAACCAGAAAAAGAAACACAAAAATCAATGGCTTCTACCTCAGATTCCTCTGCTGAACGGCAGAAAGCACACTGTATTTGGTTTTGGCTTGCCTCACACTTCTGCAAAACTGAATCATTCAAGTTCAAAACAGATTTCTCTGTTTCCAATGAACTGTGCACTCTCTTCTGAATCTTTTGAAGCATAATATTATCCTTGTCAGCAAGCTGCCCATCGTCAGAAAACTTCACTTTTTTCTTCCCATGAAGCTTGTTGCCACTACCGAGCTCACATTTCTTCAGTTTTGTACTAGGAGTAGGTTTCCTGTTATCCATGGGAATCAATCTATTTGCTGATTCGAAAGGCAAAGTTTCATCTTGAGTTTGTGGAATGTTACATGCAGCAGTTTTTTGTCCGCCTTTTGGTCCAAAACAGTTTTTATTTTGTTCACTTAATGATCCCTTGCGGAGTTTATTATGTGTCTTCAAGTCAAGTGTCTCAACACTTCCTTCACTGTGTTTTTCCTGATTCACAAGAGTAGACAAGTTGAAGGACTTCGAGTTATTGCCCTTGCGAAGTCTTTTAGCACCACATAAAGTGGAAATGTCTTCTACTACTGACCCAGTGACATTTCTAGAGGATCTACCCTTTTTCTTGTTTGTCAAATCCTTCTTATTCGAGATAAATGCATTGGCATTATCCTGATTGTTCTTCATAGTTTTTTCAGCTGCTTTTGGTGAAGCATTATGAACTTCTGATACTTCTCCAATTATGCTTTTTCCTTGTTTCTTCTCTCTAATTCTCAATGCCTTACTCTTGCTAGACTTGCAAACAACGTCTTTTCTACTAGTGGTTTTATTTTCAGGAGGAAATAAAGCGGGTGAACTCAGCTGTCCTTTATCAGTACCCTTTTCATTTTCCACAGCTGTTCTGTTTTCAGTTGCTGATGCATTAATGCCACTTTCCTCAACTGAGCGAGCTTGAGTCTTTTCCTGAGCTCCAGCAGAATCAATAGTATCCTTAAGCTAAACCATAAAAGAGAGAAATTAGAGACTAAACAAGTCTGGAAAATGAGAAAGAAGAAAACAGTTTTGACTCCATAGGCAATAATTATACCACAGAGAAGTACCTTCATCTTAAAGGGGCTAGAACAAAGTTCAGGGGAGCAAGCTCTTTGTGTCCAGTCAAACATCTCACTGTCAAAAAGATCTGCTCCACTTGCTGCATCATAGGGTCCACTCTGTATAGCAAAAAAGTGGGAAAATCAATGAAATTTCTTCAAATCAAATACATACAGAAATAAGATCACCAATAAGCTTGACTCTGGATCATAAAACACGAAAGCTAAGTTGAAGGGTAGGAAAGGAGAATAACCAAAAACCTGATTAAAGCGTTTCTATAGTAATATTTTATGTACTGTAAGGAAATTTGAAAAATGAATACCAAATGATAAGAATCATGCAGACTTGGAAGCAACCTCTCTCCCTCATCCGACAGAAAAGGGATGAAAAAAGATCAAAAAGGCAATATAGGAGGACTCAGAAAATCAAACTGTAGAATAGAAGCCTATCCTGCCAACACATCAGGCCAAACAATCAAGTCTTGCCAATTTTCCAGTTTAAGGGTATACTTCATTCTGGAGGGGAAGCAGTTATAAGTTGGATACTATGGTACTTACTTTTGGAGACATTTCGCAGTGAACCTCATCATCCAAGTCCTTCATATCGCTGAAGGATGGAACGGCTGGAGGTGTATCCATGATAATGTCCCCATCTGTTTGCTGACTTGATCTTTCTATATTCTCTTCTCTCAGCCAGAAGAATGGAGATAGTACAGGTTCTCCTTTTTCATTTAGCATAGACCTGTCTCTCTCAATTACCAATGGTTTCTGAACTTCATCGGTGATGGATTTACCATTTCCACCAACTAACTTTGTAGGTGGTGGAGTCTCTGAAGGTGGATATTGTGGCACCTGCACTCTCTTCTTTGTCAGAAAAGAAGGTCTAATAAGATTTGATCCGGAAATTTTTTTGTTGCACCCTGAAGATTTTTTTGAACCTTTCCCTCTTTTTCTCTTCTGATTGCCTGTCGCTGGAGCTTCTGTTACAGTTTTAGGTGTCTCTTGGAATCCACAATTTTTTTCGTCATTAGATTGAGTGTCTTCCCCTGTATAAAAGATAAAGATGCCCCACACCAAAATTATTTACCGAAGTGATAATAACTATGGCCATTGGCCAAGCCAAATTAGCCTCTTCAGAACCATAATTTTGATCAAAACAAATACATTTGTATTATTTTCAAAAACTAAAGAA